TTGGGAATAAGAAGGTTGCCATGGGTTCCTAACAAGTTAACCATAGGAAATGACAAGTTTAAAAATTGACAATAAGAAGTTGGGAATAAGAAAAGGCAATTATGACAAAATGGAGAACTTTATAATGTAAAATAACTAGTTGATAATTATAAATGACAAGTTAATGATGAAAAATAACAAGCATGAGAAGTAGTTGAGAATAACAAGTTTACTTTGAGAAATTAACACCTTGCTTATATGAAATTACAAGTTCATGTTTCGAAATAAGAAGTCAATGGTGGTGATGTAAGAAGGCTGTTGGTTACAGAATAGGTTGTTAACAGAAGGTGATAGTTAGTTAGTAAATGTGGTTGTGAAGGATTGTATGTTGAATATTTTAAGGAGAGGAAGATGGCATCAGAAGGAGCCTCTGGATCAAAAAAGGCACACAACGGTTGGTTGTTATTCAGAAGTGAGTTTATGACCACAATAGCTGACCCTGACATGACAGCCAAACAAAAAAGATGATGCCGTCAAATGCATGGAAAGCTCTGGCCGCTGAAGAGAGAAGATGAGGTACACCGAGGAGGTGATGAAGAAAAGAAGGGCACAAAAGGGAGAAGAGGAGAAAAAGAAACATGTCCCATCATTTCTAACCGGGGTGTCCCGAAGGGATTAAGAAAATTACTGCACTTTGTGAACAATAATGAAGACTTAAGGGAGAGGGTTGAGATGATGGGCTTCGGGAGTTTTCTGTTGAAGGTTGGATTAAAGAGACTACCCCGTGATCTCATTGTGACCATGCTGAGATCATATGACCCGCCAACGCATCAATTACAATCAAGGGCAAATCAGAGGAAATAGGAGCAGAAGATGTGTGAGCAACTGCTAGGAATCCGTCACGGTGGGGAGGAGGTGAAACTAAAGTTGATGAGAGTGATGCTACGTATCAGGAGTTGAGAAATGAATATCGGAAAGTGTCATTCAGCAAAATACTAAAAGACATTGTTTCAGGGGAGGAGGATCACAGATTCGAGTTTTTATTTGTGCTATACACCCTGGGGTACTTTTCTATGTCCGAATTCAAGCTCAGAAGTGAGTGAGAAGTTGGTTAGAGTCATGCGCTGCACAATGGATGACTTTGGAAAGTATGATTGGGCTACCTATATTATAAAGGACCTCTGGAAAGAAATGGGAGACTATGTCAAAGGGTACAGGCGGGCAATGAAGGGCAGGGGAGCAGCACTGTTGGTGGCTGCATATACTTACTTCTGGTATTACTATTTTATTTGTCATTGTGTTTGCATTTGATTACCGATGTGCAAAAGTTAATGTTGTATATATGTGGCTGGCTTGCAGCTTTTTTTTTTTGAGAATTTTAACCTGAACACGCCTGTTGGCCGAGAGTCACTACTGCAATTGAATACTGGACATGATGAAGAAGATAAAAGAATTGGCCAGCAAGGAGAGGAAGAGTGTTAGGGGAATTATGTATGGAGGAAAAGGCAGTGAAGCTGTGACAGGGAAAGAAGAGAGGATAATTGTAGAGTTTTTGGACCCGGTATGTGGTATAATTGGTAAACTGAAGTTTTTATTTCGTAACCTGAACTTGTTATCTACCATAGTATTGTTGTCATTTCCTATACTGAAGTTCTGATTTGCTATAGTGACATAAAGCTTTGTCATTGTTAAGTTGTAATTTGGCAAACTTAAGTTGTTATTCGCAATACTTATGCTGTGATTGCCATATTGAACTTATCAATGGGTAGACTGACTTGTGATTTTGTATATTGAACTTGTCATTCGGTATAATGAACTTGTCATCTGCGATACGTGAGTTGTGATATGGTTTACTGAACTTGTCATTCGGTATAATGAACTTGTCATCTGCCATACATGAGTTGTGATATGATTTACTGAACTTGTAATTCTGTATAATGAACTTGTGATCTACCATACCTAATTATAATTTGGTTTACTGAAGTTTCATTCGTATATCAACTTGTCATCTGCCATACAGCTTGTGATTGGTTTACTGAACTTGTCATTCGGTAGTATAATTAACTTGTCATCTGCCATATGTGAGTTGTGATTTTGTTTACTGAACTTGTCATTCGGTATAATGAACTTGTCATCTGTCATACCTAAGTTGTGATTTTCTTACTGAATTTGTAATTCTGTATAATTGAACTTGTGATCTGCCATACCTGAATTGTAATGTGGTTTACTGAGGTTGTCATTCGGTATAATAAACTTGTGATCTGCCATACCTAAGTTGTGATTTTGTTTACTGAACATGTAATTCTGTATAATGAACTTGTGATCTGCCATACCTGAATTGTAATCTGATTTACTGAGGTTGTCATTCGGTATAATAAACTTGTGATCTGCCATACCTAAGTTGTGATTTTGTTTACTGAACTTGTAATTCTGTATAATGAACTTGTGATCTGCCATACCTGAATTGTAATCTGGTTTACTGAGGTTGTCATTCGGTATAATAAACTTGTGATCTGCCATACCTAAGTTGTGATTTTGTTTACTGAACTTGTAATTCTGTATAATGAACTTGTGATCTGCCATACCTGAATTGTAATCTGGTTTACTGAACTTGTCAATATGTCATAGTGAAGGTGTCATTTCCCATAGTGAACTGTTGTTGTATATACTTACTTGATTAATGTCTTTTACATGCAGGAGCTGAAGAAGTTACGTGAGCGCCTAATGAAGAGGATAGAGGAAGGGCAAAAGATGCTAATGAAAATGGTGGATGAGGAGTTGGTGAAGGTGCAAATCCCAAGACAGAGGGAGATGGTGGGAAGGGTAAATCAAGAGGAAAGGCTCGGGTTGAGACAGTGCCTACAAATAGAAGTGACTCTGAAGATGATGAGGAGGAGAGGCGCAACAATGATGACACAACTGAGGAAAAGGAGAAGGATGAAGTAAGCAGTGAAGATGGAGACAGTCATGGGAAGGGCGACACAGAGAATGACAGCGACAATGAAGAGATGAGGGAAGGGGTCAAGGGGATGGTGATGACAGGAGCGAAGGGGAGAGGGAATACAAGGGTGATGCAGAGGGTGACATACCTACAGCCAGTCCCCTAGGGAAGTGTCACCCACCATTGAAGGTGATGAGGCAGAAGGTCACTCACCGATGGAGGTATCCCCCCTGGCCATTGTTGAATATGTTGGGCCTGATCCAGAACCTATATCTGTGGAGGCACAACAACTAAGGAGATCTACTAGGGTTCGGTTCAGCAAGATCAAGTCTCCTTGGTTGGAGTTGAAGGCACAATCAAGAGTGAAGAGGCCTATGGAGCCCAAGGATATTTTTTTCAACTTAGTCAGCCGAGCTGTCAAAGGTGATGAGGGTGAGATGTAAGTGAAAATCTTTGCTTATGTGATCTTATTTGTTGACTACATGTTAACATAACACATCTAGTAACTCACTTGAATATGTTTTAGTCCTTTGATCAGAATGTTTGATGAAGACATCCCCCGACGATTGCTGCATTCGCTTGGTGGAAATAACAGGGTGAGTAACCGAGTGATGTCGTTAGTCTGTAAGGCTTTGGTGCAAGAGCAGCAGGCAGTTGAAGGCCGAGTTAAGAGGCATATATTTGATGCAGACTTCATGGTGAGGTTTCTGTATTACTAATAGGCTTTGTTGATTTACAAGATTGGAAATGAAAATGATAGAATAAAGTGTGTTACAGTGAATAAGAACTTGGTTTTCTGCATTTCACAGGCCATAATGACCCGTGATCCAGCTCGTTGGGATCCTAACCAGCATGCACGACAAATACTTCCGCATTATGTTGGCTACAACATAGGTGACTGTGACTTGATTTGGGTCCTGCTCTAGTTGGGGAGCATTGGTTCTGTTTTGCATTCGAACCAAAGACCCAGAAGTTTAATGTCCTTGATTCCATGCGAGCAAGTTTACAGCGTAAGAAGACCACCTCCAAGCAGAAGAAGGCAGCCACATATGACCCCCAAGAAATGGCCATCACCGGATGTGTAAGATGTTACTGACCTGTGCATGTTAGATAGGGAAATGACAGTTTTATATTGTTATCCTTTTGATGAATATGGCATATGTGCAGAGGGATCGGTTTGAAGACATACTTCACATGGTCAGACCAGATTTTAGTGATAACTTGGAAATTGTCTGGCCTGATGTACCACAGCAGAAAAATTTGTGAGTGTATACACCCTACTCATGTGATATGTTATTTGGCTGTGTTGGTTTGAGGAGCTGAAACTGTTAGGGTGGTGTTGTGGGCAGGAGGGACTGTGGTGTGCATGTGCCCATATGGCTCAAGAAATGGGAGCCTGATGTTTCCCTTGAATATACCGAGGTATTGACATTACCTTATTTATTGTGCAATCAAGAGTGACCACGTGTGACTTGTTTGGTGGTAAACTTGCTGTGCAGGCTGATGTGTCCTCTTTTCGGCGCGAGCTGATGTGGTGGCTGGTGAACCATGATGACAATGAATGCCGTCAGAAGGTGTATGATCTTATCTCACAACCAGAGAAGGGCCGAATGACCAAGAAGAGGAGAACGTCTTTATAGAGAGCATTTAAATTAGGCTGTGACTTTTACTAACTTTGTCAATTGATTCATTTGTTGAAATTGTATGCCAATTATTGTAATGGTTATGATATGCTTGGATTGATGGTATAACAGCACTTATATTTGGAATGACAAATTTCCCTTTAGTCAGGCCAAATGGCCAATGACAAGTTTAGTACGGGTAACGACAAGTTCATTATGGCCAATGACAACTTGTGAAAAGGTTTTCATACAAATTTGTGATTCTATATTAAAGGTGGCTAAATTTGCACATTGATTCATGGAATGAGAGGTTGACAAAGGAAAATGACAAGTTGACAATGCCAAATCACTAGTTCCCAAGATGTTTTCATGCAAGGGAAAATTTCTATTCCAATTAGTGGAATTCCACTTACGACAATCACAGAATGACAGGTTCACTAACGAAATTGACAAGTTGACTAGTGAAACTTACAAGTTCCCATAAGGTTTTCATGAAACCGAGATTGTCCGTTGAGATGAGTGGATTCCCACTTATGATAATCACGGAATGACAAGTTCACTAAGGAAATTGACAAGTTGACTTGGGAAATTTACAAGTTCCGATAAAGTTTTCATGAAACCGAGATTGTGTTGAAATTAGTGGATTCCCACTTATGATAGTCATAGAATGACAAGTTCACTAAGGAAATTGACAAGTTGACTTGGGAAATTTACAAGTTCCGATAAAGTTTTCATGAAACCGAGATTGTCTGTTGAAATTAGTGGATTCCCACTTATGATAGTCACGGAATGACAAGTTCACTAAGGAAATTGACAAGTTGACTTAGGAAATTTACAAGTTCCGATAAAGTTTTCATGAAACCGAGATTCTCTGTTGAAATAGTGGATTCCCACTTACGATAATCATAGAATGACAAGTTCACAAACGAAAGTGACAAGTTCACTATCGAAAATTACAAGTTCGAATAATGTTTTCATGAAACGACTGGATTTTCACTACTGGTGAACACAAAGTTACAACTTCAGAAAGGGAAATGACAAGTTATTATGGAAAATGACAATTTCCCAGAAGGTTTTAATACATTTTCATACTTTGAACACAGTGATTACATTGCACATTTCAAGAGCAACCACTTCTAATCAACGCAGAATGACAAGTTGACATTGCCAAATGACAACTTTACTATGCCACATGACAAGTTCCTATAAGGTTTTGACACATTTCATTTTCTGACAGTAACCACTTCTGATAAACACGGAATGACAACTTCATATGTGCAAATGACAACTTTACTATGCCACATGACAAGTTCCTATAAGGTTTTGACACATTTCGTTTTCTGACAGCAACCACTTCTGATAAACACGGAATGACAACTTCATATTGCCAAATGACAACTTTACTATGGCACATGACAAGTTCCTATATGGTTTTGACACATTTCGTTTTCTGACAGCAACCACTTCTGATAAACATGGAATGACAACTTCATATTGCCAAATGACAACTTTACTATGCCACATGACAAGTTCCTATAAGGTTTTGACACATTTCGTTTTCTGACAGCAACCACTTCTGATAAACACGGAATTACACTTTGCACATTTCTGACACAACCACTTCTGATAAACACGGAATGACAACTTCATATTGCCAAATGACAACTTTACTATGCCACATGACAAGTTCCTATATGGTTTTGACACATTTCGTTTTCTGACAGCAACCACTTCTGATAAACACGGAATGACAACTTCATATTGCCAAATGACAACTTTACTATGCCACATGACAAGTTCCTATAAGGTTTTGACACATTTCGTTTTCTGACAGCAACCACTTCTGATAAACACGGAATGACAACTTCATATTGCCAAATGACAACTTTACTATGCCACATGACAAGTTCCTATAAGGTTTTGACACATTTCGTTTTCTGACAGCAACCACTTCTGATAAACACGGAATACAACTTCATATGCAAATGACAACTTTACTATGCCACATGACAAGTTCCTATAAGGTTTTGACACATTTCGTTTTTTGACAGCAACCACTTCTGATAAACACGGAATTACACTTTGCACATTTCTGACAGCAACCACTTCTGATGAACATGAAATTACAAGTGCACAAAAGCAAATGACAACTTAACTATGCAAAATAACAAGAAGTGACAAGTTCTGATTTCTTTCACAGCAACAAGTTCTTTACAACATTCAATGACAAGTGCACATTAACTTACATCTTCCACTTAATGTCCCTTTGTCCCAAACATAGAAGTAACAAAAAATATATGTGCACATCTACTAACATCCTGCTCCTAAAAAAATTAAGAAGGATGAACCCTATATGTGCCAAAAAAATTAGTTGTCCCATTTGTAAGTGGAAGTCAACTTGGGTTAGGATTTTTGCATGTCCTCTTTGTATGTCCAGGATGAAGACATCTAGTGCAATGATATATTTTTTTGTTGTGGAATTGTGATTCCTTTCTATTTCTTCTTGGTCTTCCAGAAGGCCTAGCAGTGACTGGGGGTAAAAGCAAGGGTTGAGCAGTAAGATTCTCAAACGTATAGTCATTCAGGTGAGGCATATCAATTGTCACCACTGGAACCATGCTCCGGGCATAGATTTTTTCTTGGGATGAACGTTTGTAACACTCTTCAACATAATCATAAACGTTTCCCCCTATGGTCTTAATGGCTGCACAAGCATGTGAGCATGGAATCCCTAACATTTGCCAAGTTCCACAGCTACATTTGTGTAGGCCAAGGTCCACTCTTTGGTCTCCACGTGATGTGTGCACGCATATTCTTCCCCCTCCATAATTCTCACAGTGCATGTACCTACCGAAATACACATGCTCCAATACTTTTGCCTCTATTTTTGGCCCAACGCAATTACTCCACTTAGTCATTGCTGCATATGATGCATGCATCTTTCTTGCTACTTTCTCCCGGTGCTCATGGATCATTTGGGCCACGTTATGCTTCCTCTCCCTTACCATCCAAGCATTAAAAGATTCAGCTAAATTAGTTGTTATGTTGTCCCACCTTCTATATGGGAACTTGCTCAATGCCCACCTATCCACATCACCTTGATTGATAACCCACTCATATAACTCATGAGACATGGTTCTGAGATCATCCAGCGCATGATCAAACTCATCCGCAAGTCTTGCATAAGCCACTTTATCCAGTACCTTTAATGCATCTTCCTTTGAATTTTCACTTGTCCTTCTCCGACCTCTGTTTAATTTCATATATTCAGAGCTAAAGTTCTCCTTCACATGCCTATAACAGTATGCATGCCTTTCACCCCCAAATATTGCTTGCACAGCACCAATTATAGAATTATGTCTATCTGACACAATAGTCAGTTGCATTGAACCAACAATTTGTTTAATCTTGTGAAAAAAACCACGTCCAGTCATCAAGATTCTCTCCCTTCACCACTGCTATTGCAAACGGCAACATCTCATTATCCGCATCATATGCCGAAGTTGACAGTAACGTCCCCTTATATGGACCACTTAAATGAGTA